GGCTGACCGCCATTCAGCTCCGTGATCCTGACACACCACACATAACACAGATTCAATCATGAGAATCATGCAACTGATTCATTCATTTCAGTGATTCAGTTGAAAGGATTCATCAACAGCATTGTTTTATTTTAAAAAGTAAAATATTATAATACTACAGTAACAGATTATAGTTTTACAATCATATCCTTCTTATATAGCCTAAATGTAAAATATGAAACATTTGAGTGGCATGTATCTGGTGGGGCAGTGTGTGTTCTCACCTGTCCAGGTCGTGAAGCGTGTGTGAGATCTTCGTGATCACCTCCACTCCCGCTTCAGACGCCAGCTTCTTTATAGCCGCGTCTCGCTCCTTCCCGAACGGCTCCGAGTCGCACTCGAACGTCAGCCGAGACACCTTCCACTCCTGCGGACCAATCAGAGTTATTCTGGACACGCGATCGACACGAGAAAAGAGGAAAGCGAGCTGCAGGACTGTAAAACAGGGCTGTGTTTCATCTCAACATCAGCCAGCGTTACCTTGAAGAGGCGCGGGAAGATGTTCGCCGGCTGACCGCGGACGACGAACAGACAGGAGTTGAGTTTACGAAGACTGGAGTCCAGATCCTCCAGACACTGCAGCAGAACCCTGACACACACACACACACACACACACGTATGAAGAGGTCTGACGGGTCATGTGAAGATCTGACGGTCAGAGAGCCCTACATAGACAGCACTGCTGACAGCAAGACTCCTAAAGCTGCGTCACTCCCAGAATGCACTGCTTCAAGATACATTCACGAAGGTTATAAATATACAAGTATTTCATTCAGCACTGAAACTGATATACATATATATATAACTTTAAAATACAAAAATGTGTTCAATTTGTATTTTATTTATTGAATCTGAAACAATGTTTCCTTAACTGAGACAAACTAGAAGCATTTTTTATTTTATAATTATAATAATAATTGATTAGTAGTATTTATAATAATTGTTGTTATATTGTATATTTATATCACCTAAATATATTAATAATAATGTTATATAATTATATATAAAATATATTATTATTATTATTTTCGTCATCATCTTTGAAGTATTATTACTTTAATGTGTTAATAATAATAAAACAGCCTTAAAGTATTATTATGATAACAACATTACATTAAAACATGTCTGTCCCTCTCCTAATACTATATTTATTTGTTCTGTTTCACTAATGGCTGTAAAGTTCTTTATTAAGTTGGTGAATTTGTTGAAGTAGAGGTTTCTTATGGATCTGTATCTGCGTG